CAAGTAATAGTTTTAGACACGGCAGTTATCTTCTCCTAGAATAATCGCCATCAGTCGTTTTCACAGACTACGTCATTAGAATTTCGTGCATTGGTTGCAAATATCCATTGAAATATATTCACAGTTGCAGTTCTTACATTGATACCCAAAACTTCCGAAATGAAGAAAGTCGAACCACCTTTTAAGGAAGTGGCCATCTGCGCAGTTTACCCCTATTTAAATGCTTTATTCAGTTGCATATTTACATATATTCATTGTCAGCTGATCGGCTGCTTTATGTTTTCCATCTAAGTATATATTTTGTCAAACAAAAACGCCGAATCATGTTAAGTACATTATTTAGTATTCCGTTTATACCTATGACAATTCACGAGATGTTTTAACAAATAATTCACTTTTTATGAATGAAACAAGCCCACATCATTTAAAACATAAATTAATTTTGCTCTAAATGCACCAGATAAATAAATCAAATCACATGTGCTTAACATGCTAAACATGCATTATAAAATTATATTTTGCCATTTTTTACATAAATCAATTCAATGTATTTAAATATAAAAACATATGATCCTGTTTCTAAAATGTATGGATTATTTAGAAATATAACTTTTTGTTTATATTTCTATACATGATGCAACATACTCTGTTAAAATACATGTCTAATTCTGTCCTTTGAAAAAAATGATGTGAAAATTTCTGCCTTTTCCAATGCAATTTTCATTTTTTTTTGTTCATACCTATTTTGCATTGTAAAACGGAGATTGTTGATTATACTAAATATGATTCAGTATAATATGTTAAAGAAAATATACCTTTACTTTGCATTTTGAGACATTATTTTGTTTATTTCTCTAAATATAAATCAACTAAATATCTTAAGGCGCATAAACCTTTATGTTCGTTGAACAAATATGCTTACATGTACCTATTTCGTCTTTTTTTTCAGTTTTTCTACACTCAAGATAAATTAGATTAGTTAAAGAACATTACATGTGCATGTATGCCCTTTATAATATGCTCTGAATATTATAAAATAAGCTTAAATTAATTTTCCTACAAGTATACATAAAGAAACTAAATATCTTAAAACATATTTACCTGTTTTCTGCTTGTACAATACCCCTAGACACTTTTTAAATGGAATTTTGACTATTTAAACTGTTAAAACCATAAGCCCTGAGAGAGAGAGAGAGAGAGAGAGAGAGAGAGAGAGCGTGGGTTATTTGTAGCATTAAATCATTAAATATTACTGTACCAAGTACTGAGTGCACCAGTTTACCCTTAAAAGTTACATATTACATGAAATACATCAATAAAAAACTAGGACAAATATGCTCTATTCACAGAAAACAGAGATAACCAAGTCAATGTAAGAAAATCTACATAAGTGTAATAATACTGAAATTGGAAATCATTTACCTCTAATTAACAGTGCAGTGTATTCCTCGTACGACTAAAAACGCCAAAAAGCAGAAGCAGAATGGAGCATGTAGACAACATGAAATCGCCTTGCGTACTTTTTTGCATGTGCCCCTTCCCTTGAAAATGACGACTACTCAAAACACAACATTTTACCTGTCATCATTCCATCGGACATGACAAATTCAACATCAAAAGAAGGAGGAAAAATATGATTCTTCCTGACCCTTTCGCTGCACTCACGCCATATGAAACAACCAACGAGGGAAGCATTTTTCAAAAAACGCCAGTCACCTGATGAATCGCTTTCCTAGTCTGTCTCCTCATGGGGGCAATATGAATATCACCAGTCAGTAAACATAAACAGGCCTAGACATTAATATATTATGTTTTACACCCTAAAAAGAATAAAGGACAGCTAGTCACCGACATAATACTCACGCACAGGACTGTTCACATAGATATTAGAAACACGCCGGCCGCAGCTAGCCAACTCCTCACTTTTCTTAAACGACATAAATTACGATTTTTTCCTCCAAATGTATCTTTTCCAACTGTGCATTTGTAGTTAGCACCGTTTTATCTTACATTTTCTTTTTTCACTCGCAAAGCATCAATCGCGCTGTCGCAGACGTTTAGCCGTTCATAACATCGCGTGAGAGACAATAGAGGCGGTCTATGTGTCGCATGCGCCTTGAATCCAGACTTTGGTGCCTTGTACTTCATCTGGTTTGTATTCTCTTGCTGCAATCTCGACGCTGCTGTTACATATTTATTCCCTTGTTGGCGCAAAGGGTCTTTGTATCTTGGTGCGTGTAAAATTGCACTTGGATTATCTGTTGATTTGTGCGTGGAGTTGTGAAATTTGTATCTTGAATGATATTTTTTCCAGTACTGGTAATCGTTAGTGCGAGTAGCTCCAGTCTGAAAAAGTAGTCCAAGAACAAGCACGAGATGCCCCTTTTCAAAATTTGAGGTCAAAAACATTAATAAATATGACATATAAATTAAGTGAAAAGGACATGTTCGTTTCAGACTTATGTAAAGCACAGTTGACGAGGCGTAGCGTGTCTCCATAAAATTTGTCGTGTCCTTCATTTCAAACAATTGCTTGTGAAAGGACTTTTTGGGGAGAAAAATTGAATTTGACACGAATATTGCCCAGCTCTCAACTTGCGTAATTTGAACACATTTCCAGGTCCCATATATTCATAATTCTGATGGATAATAAGAATATGAAGACATCAGAGAATATGATTATAAAAATGTCAATGAAAAAAAAAATAGATGTCTTTTTTCTCGCTGATCAGATAAATAAATGTTTAAGTAAAAACATTATTTCATAGTTATGAACATCTTATAATCCTTAAGTCTCTTTAGAAGTGCATGGCATGCCCCGAGATGAACAATAAACCAAACCTTTTTATTTCCCGTGGTGATGCCAAACAGGTCCATAGGATTAATAATATTTTTTCCTTTAGAATGTTAATCTTCTGGCATTGTGAAAATTGAGCAGGAGCGCGCACCCCACCACCATGTAGCACACCTACCGCATTGTCGTTTGCTCTGAATGTTACATAGATGTTAGGTGTGTTGGGCACCCGGATGAAGAGTTTTGTCACCTGTCAGTGACAAGTTTCTTAAACCCACTTTACACTGGACGGCATCCTTTGTGCGTCCTGGAGTACGGCCTCGTTTGAGATTAAAAAAAAATGCATGCCGACAACTGGCCGGTCATTGAGCATTCATTCTGCAACCCTGGGCGATGCTTGTGCCTCCTTTCTACATGTACGACCACAGCGATGCCAGTTTCATGGTCGCATAAATGATGCGCAGAAATGACCCCGTCCAGTGTAGAAGGAGTTTAAGCAACTTTTTTCACTGCCACGATTTCAGGGCGGCATTCATTTAATCTGTTGTAAAGCAAATGACTTACACTTTCGATAATAACAGATAACAATTAAAGCAGAATCAATTGTGTGAAGGGATAGGGAGTTATTTAGTGCAAGTTAAATTTCTTTAAGAGTCAACAAGTGTAGAGATTGTTCTCGAAGTAAGAAAGGGTGAAACATTTCAGTGATATAGTTTGATTTGATTGGGTAATTTTTCAATAGATTTGCACGTTTCTAACACGTGTAAAAATCATGCAAACTCGAGATGGACAAGGCTCAAGCATGAGTAATTCGAATAATACTTTAAATATTTTCAATTGAAAACAAGTCTCTCTGAAAGTAACTAATAAGGAAATATTGAATAGCTTTTTGTAACATGAGCATGGAAATTAAGAGTGTAAATAATGGTGAAATTGTGTGAAAGAGAGAGTCGGTGAATAAACGTTTGAAAGCTCCAGACTGTTGTCGTCATTCCTCACTATAACAGATCTTTTGTAAGGTAATCTGTCTCCAGCATTTGGTGAAATACACTCCCGTAGTTAAGTGCTTGGGTAATGACAAACAAGGAATTTTCTTCGTCTTATAAATAAAATTACTTATACCTTTAAGAATAATCGTCAAGCAGAGTTAAAATGTGCCACCCCCCTCTTCTATGCACTTTCTAATGATACCGTGTATAATAAGAATGGATTTCATGTTGCATGACGTTACTGAATTAGGTAATCGCTGGAATTGTAAAACAATGATATATAATTTAGTCAGATAAAATATAACATTTATAGTTGCCAGTGTCCTAAATGTAAATGCACAAGGCACTAAAAGGGATTCAGAGGTCACGGCACCTTTTATCAGATGCTGTACATGTCTACATTTAATAATAACACTTTTAATTATTCGCCAATGTACCAAATCGTTCATGTGCATTCATCGTGCGGGATTGAATTGAAAATCAACGATAATGTCTATTTAGGATTAATTTGTCAGGCACTGTGCCATTTTAGAATAAGACCTAATGTACAAATAATAATAATATAATAAAATAATATTAATAATAATAAAATAACGAAAAATTCTCTAGGAGGTAATACCTTTGCAAGATCTGTTCATTTCTTGTTTTTTTTTAGCTAAGCATGAATTAATAATTCTCATTCAACCTTATTCAATTAAGGAACCAAGGGCTTATCAACCGAGATGATGATAGATAATTCTATAATGATATAATATCTTAATCTAGCGTGGAAGTAATTTAGAAATAATGACCCGGATCAGGATTGGAAAATAATATCCACTGTATTGAAACCCCGGAAAGGAAATGTCATAAATGACACCAGTTTCACAACTATAATTAGATTTACAATTTTCTCATTTGGTAACGGTCAAAGACAACGGAATGTTATTATGTAATAACAGCCCCGTATGTGACATCATATGATAATTAATCAAACGATTAATTCTGTCACCCTGGCCTCTGACGGCTAAACATGAAACATATGAACAGACATGATTATATAAAAAGAGTGAGCAGCCAATTTTCTAAACCATTGATGATATCGTAATTATGAGGTTACCGATAACTGGAATTTTTAATTTGGCGTTGGAAATGTGCTCACAAAAGCGTCCACATCTCTTTCCTCTGACGTATGACGGAAAGTCGACAAGTCCGCAAACCAAAGCCGTGAGCACTGCTCACGCGCCGTATATAAGGTTCAAGCTTTTCGCCCTCCGGCAATCGCTCGTAGAATTTCCCCCGGGCTCAACCTATGCGCTGCTTACATTTTGTGGACACCTAGACGAGAAACTGTTAACTGTTGAATTATTGTCTCGCTACCAGTCGAAACTGTGGATTGATTTTAATTATATTTACCATTCTCAGACGATTGATCGCAGTGTCAAGCAATGTACTTGATGTTTTTCATCATCGCGATGGCACTTGTGAGTGCTACATCAGCTTGCAGCTGTTGGATAGATTATCCTCCCATACCAGGGAAACCGATTTCTCCGTACGGACCAAACGGGGACAGGTATTGCAAAGGGAATTACGACTTTGGTGAGTTGATTGCAGCTTTTACTGTTTATTTCACTGTATTTCAGGCCTAAAGGCCAAGAGTACATTAATTGAGTTCTATTTATAATAATACTGAGTTGACTACACTGGAATATATATCATAAACGACACAAATCACTTATCTAAAAAAATCTCTTAATTTCTCAGCATGATATATGAAGGCCGCATGTCTTTTTATAAAGTCAACATTATGTGATGACATAGCAGTCGCTAGTGACAATGTTGTAATCTCGGGAGTATAGCGTTCCCTCAGACCGTTATATAAACTACATGACATTAACACGTGTTCCTCATTCTCGATAATTGTTATGCCATCAGAAAGGCATGCAGCACATACTCTATTTTCCTCATCTACACTAGCATACCGACCCTTCTCAACCTGTAAATTGTGGTTTGATATTCTGAACTTGCAATAGGCCCTTCTATGCTCTGCTATGGACACAAAAGATAAGTATTCCTCAAATACCAAATATCCTTAGCTTGCCTGATTCGCGTACTGAGGAATACCAATTCTGCCTGCTTATATCCATTAATCGTTGTCTAAACTGTTTTGTAAAAAGTTCCACAATTCCACATCCTTGGTTTTCCCATACTACTCCAAATCCATATGAATATAAAAGATGCTTGATGTTACTCGCCCATGTTTGCCTTCCACTACTATCTAACTGTAACTTGTATCTTTTACTATAACCTTTCTGTTGTAAAGATGGCATTAAAACGTGATGACGTTAAAAATACATGGTCACGAAGAGATTTCGCAAATTTTAGTCATGGTTGTCGGTTTTAAATTTTGAAATACTTTCTTCTTGTGTACATTTAAATTTCTTGTTTGTTAACAGTTCCGTGCTTATTTTACTTTTTTTTTTTTTTTATTCGCCCGCAATAAATAAGAACTAACAAGTCACAAAACAACCCACGATTTAGAAAGATGGTCAACAAAATCATGGACCTAATGAGAGATTTATCAGGTCCATGACAAAATTGAATAAGATTGCTTAAATCTATTTATTTCCAGTTATCAAAGGTTATGTAGTAAACTCCAAAGAACATGTGAAGTATACGGAGTTCTCCGGCGCGGATGATGAGGTGTCGTTCCGTCTTCCGGCGCCCGGATCCTACTTGGAATACGACGTCCACGTTCACAAAGTGTACAAGGTACAGTAATAGATGTTCTTTTTTGTTCTTTTTCTTTTCAGCTTTATACCATTTTTAAAATTAAGTCAAAGGTGTTATTTTTCTGGAAATTAAAACAATTTTCTCGTTATCACAAAGGTTGGTTTTCTATTAGGGCAAAATGTTAGTTTATACTACCCTCTACCAGGGCCACAGATTGACTTTTCACAGAATATTCACAGATGTCTTTAGATAAATAGCCGGACATTTTACTATCTTTTCCCATTTTCCCCTATATAATCTGCCACTCTGCTAGAGGGTAATTTTATACAGTGTAGCCGGTACACTCTACAACCAAGTTACACAGTCTATACCAGGTTTCCATGATTATACCTGGTCCTGTATTTAGGACATGTGCTTGAAATTTCCTATTTCAAACCTCTTTAATCCTGAAACGATGTCACCTTCCCGTTATGGAGGGAGAAAAAGAAAACTATTGTGCATTTTTTCCCTATCATTTTCTAGGCTTCCCCACTGTTCCCCACGGAACAGTTTGTGCAGATAGTCAGCCCAGTGACCGGAATGTCCTGCGACTTTGAATTAGGGACAGATGTAGAATACCTGTTAAGAGGTATGCAGAAAAAACTCACTCTTTCGACCCTTGCTCTGCTTTCTTACTTGTTTTTTTTTCTTCCCTGTTCTCTTCTGTGAGAGTATCTATTTCTATATATTTCTTCTATATCTGCTACTGCGCTTTTTTTTGGCTCTCGTTCTCGCTTTCTCTCATCCATGACGCGCATGCGCAAATACACAGACACGTGGACATCTCTCACGCACTTACAAAACTCAAACAAAACTTACAGATAAGTTCCAATATGTTTTTTTTTTTTCAAAATAAAAAGAAAAAAGAAAGAAAAAAAAGAAAAAAAAGCAAGGGAAAGTTTGAAAAAAAAAAGAAAAAAATGAGAAGAAAAAAGAAATCGTATGATAAAAAACATACTGAAAGCAATCTCGCTTCATTTTTTCCTAGGGACTATATCCACCAAGGGTGATAAAGTTCAGTTGAACTTGGCCGGGTTCTGCGACTACGGAGGGGTGTTCAGCAGCCAGGACAAACAGATGAAATATCTAGAAGACATTGGCTGTCAGCAGAATATCATTCCCCCTTTGAACAAGTGAACCTGTCAAACCTCCTTTACACTGGACGGCGTCCTTTCTGCGTCCTTTGTGCCACCATGAAAACTGGCATCGCTGTGGGCCGTAGAAAGGAGACACAAGCGTCGCTGTGAATTCTTGAAATGATCGACCAGTTTTCGGCACGTGAAGCATTGTTTTTTTTTCACTCCCAAACGGGGCAGTGCTATGGGACACAGAAAGGACGCCGTTTATTCTAAAGGGGGCTGTAGTGACAGTACTCGTATAAGTACTGTCAGCTTCATGTCAGCTTCATAAAAGAGACATTTATTCTTATAACAACGTGGCAACGGGTGGGTGCGTTGGGTGCGAAAAAAGCCCCTTTTATAGATGGAAAATGTCCACTTTTGCAACTCAGTATTTGTTTATGGATAATTATGCTTCCAAATAAAAGCAGAATGCAGAAGTGGGAATGATGAGATTTGACTAGGTTTATTTCATCTATTTGTTCCTATCTAACATAATCACCTCCACGTATTTTATAATCGTTTAAAAGAAAAATTAGAAAAAAGTATTTAAAGTGAGGACATGAAAGACGCTTAATACTGAACTTGGTAGAAAGGCATAAAGTTTTACTGTCCAAGCTAATTGTTTTTTTTTCCACGCGGAATGCGATAGATGTGACCAGAAAACCTAACACAATCTCTGAACACTGAAGTCTTTTGACAGAATCGTGGCTCTAAGGGTGAAAGGGGGTGGGGCAGCTTGGACTATTCTCCGGCAGTGACACAACATCGCCTGTGTCATATCAAGATTAATATGACCGATGACATGTCAAGATATTTTGCGTGAGTAATAAGCTTTTTTCTATGTGTTTGTGTCACACATTTTTCACTTCACTTCGCTTTGAAGGACCGTTTGAAGATCTGATCATTTGTTCACAAATCGTTCACACTTCATTTTTTCAAATAGCATCAATTTTGTCTCAGACATCTTCCAAATCCATTATTAATGAAGGCCATCGGCGCTGTTGGTGCGGAGAGCCGGTGAGCGATCCCTTGATTCAACCAAAAGATGTCCTTTAAAATTGTAAAGTTATGGGGTATTTTGAGTTTGGATTACGTAAGAATAAAGACAAGTGAATCCTGAAAATAAAACGGTTGTCAGAAAATACGGTTTTTCGATTTTATTTTTGATTTTGATTTTTTGCAAATATTCCCCGAACGGACTACATACACTTGACTCTGTAATAAATACCGTTTAATTTTTTCTCGCTTTTTTATTTGATCTTGTCATTAAAGTGCACGAAAACAGTACATGGTATAGACACGATCAAAACCACGAGCACAGGCGCTTACATGTGTAATGTCACTTTCGTATGCTAGGAGAACAAACGCTTGAAAACACGTCTTATATATTTTTATATATTGCACAGGCGTTCTTAACAATCTTATTTACCGAATTATTCTGAGACTGTCGTTTTGATACTGTTCTTCGTGTATTAATAGGAAATAAATATGTAGGGTTGAGGGAATATGAAAGTAATTGAAACTGCAATCAAAAAAGTTCACTCCTTTCAGACCTGTATAATAAGCTCTTATTTTCGACAAAGAGTGAGACATACGGCAATACCTAATTGTAAACACCCTTTGTTGTTGCAGAATTCTAAACACACGCGCACTTCAACAATACACAATGTAGGTCATTGTAAGCTAATACTAATTCTGCATTACACCAGAACTTCCTCCACCGAAGCGTATTATTTCATATCCATTTAAATAATTAACCCCCTGACTAACCTGATTGTGAAACGGCATTTCCCATACATAATTTACTGTCGATATTATATAAGGAACCCACAGCTTGGTACCTGGAGTTCCGCTAGTTTCTATAGTTTTGAAGTATAATCGATATGATTGTGGTTTACAGTATGCTGTTGGTATGCACCAGCAGCTTTAAATATAGGGGCGGCTGGCTTACACAGAGAGAAATAAAAATTTCTGAGAGGCATTTCACGTTATTCTGATATGAAATAGGGTACTTGAGTACTGGGCATGTTAGGGACGCGGCTAATTTCCGCCAACCTTTTCTTTCAGTAGCATTGCAACTACTATATCGGTGTTGCGACGTCACAATGACGTCTAATGACGTCGCAGTGTCGCTGTGTGCTCGCTGCAGCAGGATGCGATCCTCATACGATTCCGTTATATTTGATGTCAGAATATAGTGTTTCGCACTTACATTGTTCGTCAAACAATGTAGACACTTTTTAAGGAATATACCATTTGTAATCTTCAACATATTTACCACCATTGAGGATATCGCACCTTATTTTCTTATTTGTATTTTTTTTTCGCGGGGGGGGGGGGGGGACGGGGGCGTAGGGAAGGACAAAAGCAATTGTTAAATGAAAAGGCTGGTGAAAGGGTATGAGCCTACCCAGGCCCCCCACCCCCACCCGTCCACCTCCGCCTCCCATCTAAAGCAGATGGTAAACGTTCGTGTAGGTGTAGCGCATCAGGTGTGACAGGAATAGTAGCCCGCTCTAGGAACCGTAATCCGTTCCCCATTACCTTGTACCGGTGACATTCGCGCCATATATTAAACCCAATATTCCGAATAACCCTAACCTGTACTATAATCATATAGAACCCCGGACTTCCATTCCTAGGACTACCATTCCTGTCACACCAGTTAGCATTCGTTTGAACGTCGCAAGCCCGGTTCTAATTCGACCATTTTTTTACTGGCCTAGACCATAATCAAATTCTGATCTGACTTAATTAGTTTTCAGATTTCTAATTACGATTCTGGTCAGCGCTGAATTTAACTGGATTTTGATTTGACTGCAATATGCATTTAAATGAAACTGAAGATCAAGAAAACTTGATCACGGAAAAAATATACGACGGTTTCCCCGAGCAGGATATAAGAATTGTTAGTACGGCGTCAGCCATGTCCAAACCTATCAAGATTACCCCTTCAAAGTTGAATGTAAAATTAAAGGCAAAGCGCAGTGGGGAATAAAAAATCACGTTCTATTTTTCTTGATTAGACATAGTGGGTCTTCATTGAAAACTTGGATACAAGTATTGCGAACGCATTCAAATATTTTACTTAAAAAAACATGGTGTACGTGTCTTCGATCTTTCGATCTTTCGTGTTAGTTGTTTTTTTTTTCAGTAAAAAAAGCAAAGAAATCTGCGAAAAGTCTGTTGTACTTAGACGTGAAATTGAATTAAGAAGAGTGACTTAATCACAGCAGTGAAACGCTGATTTCCCCGAGCGCTCAGTTTACAGAGAATTAATCGTTGTTCCTGTCTCATTCCAGGGTTAAAACACCTGGGTTTTTAGTATGTATTTGTGTTCAGGGACAGCTTTAAGGATAACCCACCCCATGCCCTCTTTTCTTATCCTAAAAATAATAAATAAATAAATAAATAAATAAATAAATAAATAAATAAATAAATAAATAAATAAATAAATAAAAATTCGGACTCAGCCCTGTATTTGTACACAAGGGAGGGGGAATTCTGAGTCGCAAAAAAGAAAAAAAAATAGATTAAAGCCCCGTATCACAGGGCTTCCGACCGCTTGGAGCACACATTTTTGCCCATTTGTACTCCTTTCAAAGTTGGGGTGTTGACAATATTCCACAGTCAACATCAAACCCATACATTCTTACAGTATGGTAAACTTCGAATATTGCATCCTATTGTTTTGATTCAAATTAGTGAGAGTGAGGCAAAATTCGTTCTCTGAACAATTGCATTACACGTGTACCAAGGGTTTTAGGCAAATTTCAACTAACCTTATCCCAACTAAAATAAATAAATAGATAGATAAATAAATAAATAAAGAATCATTGACAGTAGAGGAGGGGAAATTCCTTTTAGATATCCTGAAGGCAATGAACTTGTTAAATGAACTTGATATATATAAGCTACTGTATCTCTCCCTTTTCTGTTTTCATTGCTTCTTCTGAAAGAAGTTTTTCTGCTGGTGTGTATATATATACTGCATTTAATATGCTTTATATTTAAAGAATATGTTGTCAAATTTGTTAACATACGCATGTTTGTAAAAATATATGTCATAGCCGGATCAAATAAAATTGAGAGAGAGAGAGAGAGAGAGAGAGAGAGAGAGAGAGAGAGAGAGAGAGGGTGGATTTAAAACGGACAGAAATATTCCGGGGAAAATCATGAACATGAATATAAAGAAAAAAAAAGAGTAAAATATCAACAACGTGGTAAATATAGCCCACCCCTATACGCGTCACCCCGACTCAATCAGCCCCTGCAAAAATAATAACTCAAGCTTCGAGTAGATTACACCATTACAGACTGGTCGAGGCTTCGCCGCACGCCTAACAGAGAAATCGATAACATGTTCATATATCCATCCATTCCCACAAGTTAAGTAGGCGACCCGTATTGCCTGCGCAAGCTGGGTTGAAATCTGTCCATTTTAGCGCATCGTTGTTTGAAAGCTACTGCAGCACTATAGCACTAGTATTGGCCTACACTTAATACACCGTGTATCATTTCTAGAGAACGCTATGCAGGTGATTAACTAGACGGCTGCAGCGTGTTGTTTCTGTATTATCTCGCAAGCGTGGACCTCAAATGGATACTCTGGCCTTGATGGTATAATAGGTGACTTTATTTTGGTTTGGAGGATGTACAAGAGGGAAGAAATAACCCTTGGATCCGCGTGTGCGTAGGGTTTAAGAGGCCATCGTATCGGACTCACGTTTGGCGTGTCGTACGTGTGTGTGTGTGTGTGTGTACGTACTTGGAGCGCCCTGCCAGCTGTACACATAACACGGACAAAGGACGAGAGAGATTATATTCACGATTATTTATCTACGGTGTGATTCTACGGTAGAAACTAGGAATACCAAGCAGCGCGTGGACGGACTCGTACGCGGGGATTTATGTTCAGCTGCGGTGAAGGATCCATTCCGAGGAATGGGAGTGTACTAAAAATAGGCCCCACCGGTCTACCTTATGGCAGCCATCTGTCATTTACACTCCCGGTGTAGACCTAATCATCAAACAGACGTCTTCCGAAGGCAGCAGACGACACTGGAACGCTTCGCGATGTGTAGCAGACGACACCCCGCTAGGTGAGGCTTAATCACAGGAAATTTCATTGAAACGTTAACCGTATATATCGCCAGCTTAGCACATGTAATTATTGAGTTGTACCGGGCGCATGGACACAAAGAGCTACAGTATTGGCTCTGTACACATAAACCAAGGAGCGCTACCGATTTCATAAAGGAGGGCATTATTCCAGGAAATTTCATAGAAGCGATAACCATATTTTGTCTACTGTCAGCTATTATTGAATTTCCCCCAACTCGCCAGCCGAGGAGAGTATACTGCGGTCTATGTGTATTTCCAAGGAATACGGGCTCGGTTAGATCATGGGTATAAATTCCGAGAAATACCACAAAAGAGATACCCTCATCACGTCTTCCATGCCATTCCATTGAGTCGCCTTCATCACCAATATAGCACAGTATAATATTGTAGTTTGTGTGCACGGAAATAGCGTTATCGGACGTAAAGGGTAAAACAGCTAAAGCGGCTATAGCTGCTCACACTACAAGGTCGATACGCCAATTTGTAATATTTTATATGAAAATATTAGCTGCCTCGATGAAGGGAATCCTCGTGCTATTCTGATAGGTCGGCTACCGGAAAAACCTCTCGCTTCTCAGTGCGTTCATGTGATTCATCTCTAACCTATGATCTCCGAATTACAGGTGATTAAAAAAAAAAAAAAGAAAATATCGATGCGAAAATGATTAAATAGGGTCTATGTCTAACGTGTTATTGCTGCATGGAGGCATTTTGCTAAATCAAGTATGCAAATGTAATGATCTATTTTTAGCCGTAACCTCACTGAAGCAAGTTGAAATAACCATCAACAGAAGCAGACGATTAGTGTGAGAAAGAATAGAGGAAAGTGCGTCTGCTTCGGTGTTAGAAGCAAGCTGGGATACTCCTGTAAATACATAACCTGCTATTCAAAAACATCATCGTCTGTCAATTCAAGACGAAACCACAGCAGACGATATAAGTACGACACAAAGGAAGCGACTATCGTCTGCTCAAAAAATGAATTCAAGCCAGAAGGAGCAGGTGTAGTTTGGAAAGAAAGGCACTTCTGGTTGATTCAAGTTGTCGTCTGCGCGAGGTAGATAAGACAAAGGTCACATGGTGCGAATTTAGGATGTCCATGTTCACAGAATGAAGAAACAAAACGTAAGGACGTTAAGTTTAATCGTGTGCACGTTCACGTATTTACTCGTCGGAGCGGCTGTATTCGACGCTCTCGAATCCGACGAGGAGAAAAGGGAGAAATCCCGACTGGAAAATGAGGAGGAGGCCATCAAAAAGAAATACAACATTACGGAACAAGATTTTGAAATTTTACGGAAAAATGTACGACGGTCGATCCCGCACAAGGCTGGAATACAGTGGAAATTTGCCGGGGCTTTTTACTTCGCAACTACCGTTATAACCACAATCGGTAAGTGCATATTTATATTACACTCATTTTCTTTGACGTCTAGTCAACAATCTTAGGGAGCTTAGAGCCCTGACATAAGCGAGCGCATTGTATCGAAGACCCTTGACTCTGTTTAGGGCTTAGGTTCTGTTATCCAACTTTACTCATGTATAAACGGCCGCTGGGATTAAGCATGCTTCTCTTTGCTCCAACGGGCGTGCTATATCCTGCACTAGTATTTAATATTAACCGATGATGCGAAGAAGTACAATAATACAGGAAGGATATTTTAGCACGAGCTTTGAGTTATGCCTGGATCATATATCGGCTTATGTAGATACAGTCGGTGTTCAGATATAGATAGATATGGGGTTGGTATGAGTATTTGTATGGAAGATACCGTATTTCTCTTTCGCTTGATTAATCGCCTGGTATTATTGGGTTATGGACTAGAAATATACATCTGTTTTTGCATAGACGAAATGCATGCTCGGGGTGTCGATGAACTTGAGGGATTATTTAGCTCGAGTGGGGAATGTTTCTGAGTCTCTCTCTCTCTCTCTTTCTCTCTCTCTTTCTCTCTCGTTCGAGTGAAGAATATAGTTAAGCCTCTCTCTCTCTCTCTCTCTCTCTCAGTGTAAAGTACGTACTACAAGTAACTGATTACTTGTAACATTACCACAGTGTACCACTGCCTTGCGTCACAAGTCCGTCAGCGTAGGCGTATAGTGGACTTATTACTGGCTTTTCATCTTCTCTCCGACAAGATATTGATCTATTATAAGAAATGCACTCCATATGAGTACATGTACGTACGCACAAGAAACACGCCTGCACGTGCAAAAACACGCGCATAAACACGCATTGTTTTAATCTCCTGTGCGTTAGCGTAATAATTATATCGACTCGTAAGATGGTTCATCAACAGTTGCACCCTTTTTTTTGGCGAGGTTGCAAGGATTCAAAACACACACACACACTCTCTCTCTCTCTCTCTCTCTCTCTCTCTCACACACACACACACACACACACACACACACACCCACATACACACACACACACACACACACACGCACACGCATATACACACACGCACATATACAGGCAACAAACGCGCTCGCACATACACATGCAGAAACACACCTGCACACACACACACACACACACACACACACACACACACAAACATCAACACGACCACGCAAGCAAACGTTTGTCATAGATATCGAAAGCAAACAGACCCGGCTTGTATTGTTGTATCTTCAGCCGTCCTGTTACATTTAATTAGAGAGGGCAAATAACAGTAGAATAGTCCCATTATCCTCTGAACTCGCTCGACCTAAACACCTTGCAATAGATCGAATACTACAAGTCATTATCGTCTGAATAATTTATACGCATCGCAATTACTTGTATACTAACATTATTGACATTGTTGTGCTACACGTGTGCGATTTGCAGCGGATTACATCTTTGTTTCATTTTTATCGTTACCTGTGGCTTGTTTCTGATTATTATGGGTTTTTTACTCGTTGATGCTATCATTATTATTATTATTATTATTATTGATGCAGTTGTCTTCCTTTTGATAACCTTGACATCATTCTAAAATTGCGAAAAAGAGCCTCATTCCGAAGTTATGAATTAATAATGCAATTTATTAATCGGGAAATGCACTTTCCGGCCACTGATAATTGTAATTAGTCTTGGATGCTTGGAGACTATAACTGAGTCATCCATTTATCTGGAACGCTTAGATTAGAAATAAGTTGGAATGACGTATTTTGCCAAATTTGGGATCAACTTGTCTCTCTTTAGATGATCAAAATAGCGGTCTTTTCGTTCATATGTGCATGCATATGGTTTACGTCTTGTTTGTAAGCTACCCCCCATTCCCACCTCTTTTATGTGGTGGGTGTGGTCGCCTCTCTCCCCTTGCGAAGAATCGTTCACTTACGGTTCTCAACCTATTCTATAATAGGTGGTTTTTTTTTTACAGTTTTAATGTTGTTCTGTAATGAATGTAACAGTTTGAGAACTGTTTTTGGGAAGTCCTTTAGAATGTCTTAGAACAGATAAAGAACATTCTTCATTAAATAAGAAAAAAAAACATTATATTCTAGGACAGATTGAGAACAATAAGTGAGCATTAAATGAGACAAATTTTCGCAGGGGTCACAACTGACTTGTGGAATATTAATGACATTTAAGCACCTGACGTTTAAGTCTTTATATAAAACCCTTCAAATGAGCCCCAGATTAATATTTCCAAAATCGAAAACACGTCACCTGACGAAGGTGACATTGGAGTATCACATAATACTTGGTACCTTACCGTTTTCGTTTTAACATTCCTGTAAGCATAACAAAAACATTAAGTAACAATATACCGCCTTGGTGCTCTAAATCGTCATAGGGGACCGTGTTTTTAAGAATCACGCCCACCGACGGTATAATGAAAGTAATTTTGAATAATAACAAGACCTTGTAATGATGCAGAGAGTAATTTCGGCCGCAACAATAGTAATGAAATGGAAATATAACAGCGGATACATTTGAAGCTTTTGATATGTGTAGATGGAATGAAAATAAAAATATGCTCTGAGTAAATCATGGACCGTTCCTTGTTGGATCGGCGATGTCAGGGGTGAAATATGGTATGATTTGAAAACAGCGAAACAGTAAAAGATATGTATTGGGAAGTTAAGGGATGACTCTATTAAATATTCTAGGTCTCAGTTTCACTGTTAACATGGTGTAGGTTTGACAAATGATCATTGCTTTTTATACGATAATAGGCGATCACGATTTAACACTAAGATATGAAGGCAGAGAAATGGAAAATTTCTTGGTGTTTGGTGTTTCCTTCCTATCGTTTCGCTAGGTAACACCCCCCCTTTTTTTGAGGGGGGGGGGGAGCTATGTTTTCCCACCGACTTAGCCGTTGAAGGCGCAGTTCACATAATCATAAAGTGACCATGCATTTTCTTTGTTCATATGTGTACTTCAATCGCTCATTATCACGAAAAATATATAAATCAATAAATAAACCGATGTGCTTGTAAACGCGAAGAGAAAATACACTTTAAATACACTTGTGAATCTATTATCTGCTCCAAAAAAGCAGAAAGGAAGTTTAATCGCGCGTGTAGTAGCTGAATTGTAAAACACTTAAGGGGCGGACTGTCTTCTAGAATAATGACGACCACCTACGTGATGCGATGTTGTGGTTCTTTACTAGAGGCAAAATTCCATCAGGTTTAAGCTGTGAAGTTTTGAAAAGGAAAACGAGACGCGAGTGTAAGGAGTAATTGGGTGTGAAGCTTTAAGCTGACACCCTACTAGGAGGCATTTTACAAGAGTCATGTTGTGTGTTTTTTAAAGGGGTTTACACACGCCACATTTAGATATAGCCTTAGGCGTGGTAATCTCAGTAGACTCTGTACACCATTTCTCTCTCTCTCTCTCTCCACAACGAAAAACCCACACGTCATATCCTAAATAGGATTAAAAGTAGAAAATACTACCGGAGCCGTTGTATAGTGTGGATGGCGAAAGAGGAAATCGATGACGTGTTTAGTGACGTTTCAGATGCTCGACTTACGTAAAGTTTTAGTTTGTGTGCGCTATGTACGTGTATTACAGATTTATTTCTTTACCTACACAGTTGGCAAATCTGATGAAAATATACAGAAATGATGAGTTATACAAAAATGTATAAAGGTAATACTCTCAAAGCCATACTCTTAATGAGTGACAGCCGATAAAGTTGATGATAAAAGTAAACTAATGTTGTAAAAGCTAATGCCTATTAAGTACGACCAGAATACACAAAGACTATATCATTTATCATTATATCAAGGTGACCCAGTTTCGGTATCATTTCATGCGTAGCTTATATTAAATCAAGCGAATTAAAAAAACTACTATTTCGGTCATTAGGTATTTTTGATAATTCAAATACTGAACATCGTCATTATTATAACCTATGCCAGAGATCGAATGGTTTTTTACCAGTCATCGATAAGAAAAAAACACGAACAAACAAAGTTAGAAAGAACGTGGAATTGATATAGACGTTAGATAAATCATCTCTGCGCAGCTAAATCAACGCTTAACCCCTATCATCGCTACTGTTTAACAACGCGCCAAAAGCACTTAAAACGTGCAAATAACTAGTCCAGGACAGGCGCAATGATATACATGTAGCTGTAGGGGTGAAATCATCACTCGATCAAAATGTACACGTTGTAGCTCTTTATCGAATAACTAGCTTGAAAGGCAAATCTGCCCCCAGAATTACCGAACTGACCAATCCAGTCTCTTACTGAAGGCTACGGGGAAGATACAATTTAAATTTGCCATATTTCTACCTTTAATAGATAAACTAGATATATAACCAGAATCAGGGACAGATTAAAGTCGTCTTCTGGATCTTCTGGAAGACGGTCAGATTTTCAAGTTTACATTGACGATTGTCTGTTTTTTTTTTCCTGTCGAAAGACGGTCAACAATGGATGCTGGATCAACAAAGACCCTTTGAAAGACTGTCAGAAAATTTCTCTGGATCCGCCCCTAAAATACTTCTCTGGGGGTGGGGTGGAGGCGTGGGAGGAGGGGGGTTAATTGAGCACAACAGAGAATGATGGGATGTTGCATCTGTCATTACATATCTGCCCCACAATTCCCTGGGGTAGTCAAGCTGTAAGAATACCAGCTAGTTTTTTTTTTTTTTTTTTTTTTTTTTTTTTTTTTTGACAAGCTATTGACTAAAGAGTTTCCTTCATTTCTACTGAAATTACACACTGGACGCTGCCGAAACTCCTCAGTAAGGCTCAATCGATGTTGAACTCGAACTTGGGTCGTAACCCCACCTATCGGGCGAGAAGATCGCTCAATCAACGGGTCCTTAAATATAAATACCACGAGGCGAAATTTACCCGACAAAACAGGAAACTTGAGAATGGTAAATATCTCGTTGGAGCGCGTGTACGGAGGGTTTGTGATGAACTGAAAAGTGC